CGGAATTAAACTCCCGCGATTTTGTCTCGTGAATTTTATTTTGTTGCAATAATGACTCGACCGAATTAACGTTTCACCAACGACAAATTGACGAGCACGATTATTTGCATATGCGTTTTCGCGTGTTTTGTTGGTAAAATCGTCCGATACTTTTCGCCCGCTGAATTATTTTTTAAACAGCGTCGCGCAAAAACCTTGCTTGTTGAAAATACCGAGAGGGAAAAACTTCTGCTGACGTGGTTTCTTCAACCATAATTGAAATAGTTTTTTAAAACATTCGCGTAAAAGTGATACCGAATGAAAGTATATCGCGGTAGATACGGGATCGATAAATATGCAGAGACCTAGATTACCAACGACTGACTCGAGTGATGGTTCAGCCGTTCGCGAAAAGATGGTGCGCGCTGTACGAATGCTGCTATGGATCACCGTATAGATCGTTGATCCTCTCCAACGAGATGCAGCATGGTTCGAGCGGCAGACGAGGGTACAGGATAGCATCAACATCTTGTGTGATTCTATTTGCGCAAACTATGTTATCGACTCATATTTCAAGGATTGAACTTAGCGACATCTGCTCAACAACAATGTCTCGATTAAAAACTTACTATAAAAAAAGCTCAATACATTGTACGTTGTACGTTGTATGTAGACATAAAAAGTGAAAGGAAATACAAAAAGGATTACTGTAAATACGACCTTGACTAGCCATTGCAAGCAATCTACGCGATTATAGATGAACTACTCCGCATGTAGCGATGGTGGACAGTAACAGTGACCCGCTTTTTCCGCGGCGTAGCGCGCTTCGTACTCCTTCAGCAAAATCTTGAACGGATGTGGGGTGATGTTCTCGGAAGCCGTCAGCAGCTCCTCGGTGAGTCTCTGGTATTCTTCCTGACGTTTCGACTCCTCTAGGCGCCGCTTCTCCTCCTCCTCGAGTTCGCGGCGACGAGCGTCGTCCGCGTATCTCCACTGCTCCTCCAGTTCCTTCTTGTAGCACAGCCTTCTCTTCTTCTCTTCCTCTTTCGCACGTGCGGCCAGCTTGGCCTCCAGCTCGATCTCCTTCTCCATCGCTTCCTTTTCCAACCTGATACGCTCCTGCTCCTCTCTCTGCTTCTCGCATTTCTGTCTTAGTTGTTCCTCGCGACCTCGGAGACACTCCCGAAGGCCTCTCTCCTTGGCCTCTCTGAACTTCTTCTGGCCGAGATCGCGCTTGGCACGGGCTTCCTTCATCGCCGACTCCACCACAAGGTCAATCTCGATGTTTCTCTTGGCCTCGTCTTTCCTCAGATCCTCCAGGTAGCACAGATAAGCCAGCAACTCCTTGCGCAGGGCCGCGCTGGTTTCTTTGATGTTGCTCCGTTCTTTCGCCAGCTCTTCGTCGGCGATGGTCTGCCGCATCTTATCTATCTCAGCCTCGCGACGAGCTCGTTCAGCCAACTGTCTTTTGGCGATCAGTATTTGCTCCTGCAGGTCTTTCTTCAGGTTCTCCCTCTTCCGCCGTTCTTTCTCCAAGTTCTCCAGCTCCTCCCGGCGTATGGTCTGCAATAGATCATCCAAGTACTCCCTGTCCTCTTTCTGCACCTGTTTCTTTTGCTCCTCGAGAGCCAACTTCCCTGCAATCTGCGTGGCCAAAGTCGCCACCACCTCCTGGTCCAGCAGGCAGCGCTTCTTCGCCATCTCTACTTCGTGCTCCTTCTTTGCCTCGATATCCTTCAGCATCAAGTCGTGCCACAGCCTCTCCATTTCTTCCTCTGCCCGTTTCTTCGTCACGTTGTCCTCCATTTGAGCCAGGTTGATCTCCTTCGCCTCGACCGTGTACTTCTTCGCCATCTTCTCGCGCAAATCTGGGCACTGGGCTATGTGCTGCTGCTTCCTCTTCGCGGCCACTAGAGCCAGACGCTGCTCCTCCTGTTTTCTTCGGATCTCTGCGATCTTTCGACGTACCTCGTCCATTCTATCGTCGTCGCCGTGTTGAGCCTGTTCCACCACTTCGCGAATTAACCCCATTTGTTCGCCCAACAGCAACTCTCGCAGTTTCTCCCGTCGCGCGTTCACGCCTTCCTCGTAGGTCGCCAATCCTGAAGAATCGAGCAATCGTTAATGGAAATCGTATGCCACAGGTTTTTTGAGACCTCCGCCCACGCAGAAATGACATTCTTACTCTGACAACGATTTCAATGTTACAGATCGGACGTGCGACATTAACAAAGAATTCAGTAGCAATCCTCTCCAAAACGTCTCGACGAAGGTCCCACTTACGCGAAGCTGCGTCGTGAACGCACGGTGTCTTCGTCAGTACCTTGCTGGACACGCTGCCAGACTTTCTTGTTGCTGATCTTCCTGTCCGTCTGTTCCTCGAAATTCATAGTCTTGATAATGTGCTCGTAATCCCTCCTCTTCTCCGCTTCGTACTGCTCGAACGCGGATCTGTCTTGGTACTCGACGATCTTGCAGTTGCGTTCCTTCAATCTGTAACCGAGAGCCCCTTTCGGGCACCCGGCCACAGCTTGGGGATACTTTCGCGGCTTCAGTGGCCCGCATTTCACATTTTGCAACGGAAAGATACTCATATTCCGTAGAATCGCTCCGTCGGAATGGTCGAAGTGGAATAATTCGCGACAGTTCAGCGACGAGATCTTCGACCAGCTGACGTTTAAATCGGTGTTTACGGTTGCCATGACGATCCCGACCCTATTGAATTAATATTCGAGCTCGAGGGAAGGGCGCGTGGCTGGGGTTCCTTTGCACTGCGATCTGGTTCGCAAATAGACGACAAATAGAAGATCTGTACGACTATTTGCTCGCGATGCTTATGTAAAAGAATATTTAAAAATCATCGATGACTTGTGATGTAAACTTGTCTTTGGTTTCAGTTACCTGCCTTATCCCAGGCGAATTATTGGTTATGTTATGTCAAGAAATTAGGTACATCCTGTAACCATCGTTCAACGGAATTCGCAAAGTAGACGAACGACAGTTCTGTAAGCATTCTGCACGGTTTTGTATAATAACTCGTGGGTGGAAATGGCGACCAAAAGTAGACGAAGGATCCTCCACGCGCATAGTTTCAATTTTCTTAGCGCTCTCGGGCTTTCAGCCATTTCAGAATTATTAGGTCCTGAATCTTCGACGTTTTGAGAACACCGAAATTATCGAATGAAGCTCGGTGGCGTTCACCGCGCATGAAAGTAATTATCCGTCAGAATTCGGTGTAAAATCGTCGTATCCGAAGCGAGAGCGTCGCGAACTCGACGGCAAATTGCTAACATTGCTCGCCGACGGAACTTCAGGACTTCGATGAGGCGGCTTGCTCGTCTTTCAAGTTCATCGAGTTTACAAGACTCGACGTAGTTCGATTACACGCTCCCGGGCACGACTGTAACGCAATATCTATATAGGAGTAATCAAGCTCACAATATCCCCGATTTAAGCAGGAAATTTCGTGGGGGCAGGAAGGCTAGAGCGATTGGTTGGCTCGTAAATTACACGGAAACGCAACGGTTCTTAAGAAAGCAATAAGAAGAATTCGATTAACACGCTGACCGCCACGTCGTCTACGTATGAGTGACAAGGGTTTTCACCGAGGAATAAATAAATAAATTCTGAAACTGAGATGTCGACAAAAATTAATTTGAATAAGATTCGTAAATTCTAAAGAGATGTTAGATTATGCCATTTCTAATTCTATAGGAACAAAATTTCAGTCTCGTAAGAGTTCTCGCGACTACTAGTCCAACAGTAAATTGTTTGCAACGATTCGTTTGATTATTGGAATAAGATTCAATTCGTTCTACGTGAAGCGTAAATTTATCCTTTAATTCTGATTGTAGTTTTTTATTGAAAAGTGTAACAAAGCAAAAGCTATTTATCTTAAAATGGAAATTTTGTTCATCTCTGTCCTCGATAAAGCGACGATTCTGCAACGAAACACCCGGGGGATGCGAATAATTTTCTACTCTCGCATCCTCGACTAGTGGTTCGCTTCATGCGACGCGAAGATTGCCTACGCTTTTATTAAAAAAGAGCGTCTGCACAGACGATACAACGGAGGAAGCATTTTCTAATATCGAATAATTGAAAATGTACTTCGATTCACTGTGAAAATAAAACTCGATTCGACAATAAAAAGATTGAATAATGCATGACATCATCTCGAAATGAAATTATTTTCGAAAGTACGTCATGTATTAGGTTAAACACAATCGTTGTATGTACAATGTAACACCAATGCAAGAATTAAAATCCTACCGTAGAAAAACCGTCAACGACCGCCTTTATTTATACCCGTCTTTTAATAATCATTTAATAATTTAGAAAATCTTTGAATAATGTTAACATGTCGTCCAATGTCAAATGGGTGCGAAAGGTTGCAATTTATCGATCAGACGATTCGTTAGTCAATTATCGGGATAGTTTGTCCAAATTACCGGTGGATGGAGCATCGATTTTCGAACTTTCTCGAAAGTGAAATGACGAACCGAAGGACTAATGATGTCGTCGGAAAACTTGTAGCTTCATACTAACCTGGCGTAGGGGATATCATGATCAACGAGGTGGTTCCCCCAGGCGAGAGGCCATGCGCTGAAGCCTGTAAGTACTCCTAATGCGAGTATTTGTACGTTCAATTTTTGATAGTGTGGGGCTTTTGTCGGAAACGCAGGCCCCATACGTAATCGTTCAACGAAATCTTCTTCGCATCCTTCCGGTAGATGTTTCCGCAATTCACTGGAAAAGCGGGCAAACCGGAGTTGACAACATGTGTAGATATATCGTGAATTTCGTGGGAAAGTAAACGAAAAATATATGCCAATGCGTGATGATTTTCACACCCACTGTCAATTAGCGATCTACTGTAAGCGCGACAGTTTCTGTAATTAAAATTTATGGATCGCTGTCGCCGTCGTAGGCGTTCGCGATATAGACATGTGCACGTCATATTCATGGGAAAAAGAAATATCGAGAGAAAGAAGCGATCGTTGGCGAAAGAACCGAGGAGAACCTTTTTGTCCCGGGTCAGAGGCGCTTCGGGGAAGAAACTGACGGGGTACGCGACGAGTGGCACGCGAAACGGCAACGAATTCACCCAGTTCCGCGGCGAATAGTCGCCAGGAATCCTCTCTTGAGACATCGACATTTCTTATTGCACAGCTTAACTTACCCCCAAGTGTTCCTCGGACAACGGAGGAGAATGTCTCTCGAGGGTGACGAGGACGTTGAGATTCGAGACGTTCTCACAATGGTGCGTCACTCGATCATCGGGAATCCTCGTCGAAATGGGTCGAAACGACCGTATCGAAGCATTACCGTCGACTGAAACGCGATCTCCAGTAAGCTTGCGACTATAAGTCCCGGAATTACACCACGAGTAGTCGCGATAGGGTGGTGAACGCAACGCTAAAACGAATCCAGTCGATTCTCGTCGGGATCGTAACAACTCTGCTTTTAATCGCAATATACATGAGCGTTCGCTGTATAAACTAATTCATTTTATACATTGTTACGCGTGCTCGTAATCTCGCGATCGGTTCATCGATGCGGTTTTACATGCGTAGGTATAAGACGTGGAACGAATACAACTTCCTCGAGACTCCCATCTCGAGTATAGGAGGCACGATAAGTTTTTCCTTAATTGGCGAGAGCTCCGTATTCTTTAATCACGGATTTTTCACACCGAAGAAAAGTATTCTCCTAAAAGATTAGCTGCCTCTGCGGGTTATATCGTTTCGTCGAAGCGAGATTTCTTCGCGGGTCCCTATGTAAAATTCACACCGAGACAAGGGAGGCTTTCTAGGCGCGGTTCTGGAATGATGATTTATGGCTGTATCGTCCTGGCTTCCCGCTGCGTTTACGAGAGTCTCTATATTTGTTCCATCGAATATACACGATTCGGATGCGTCGCGAGCAACCGATTAACCCAAGCTCGAGCAATCCATGGTTGAACGCGGCGCATAAGGACGTTACAAACAATTACTTGCGCGCGATATAAAATATTCCAGGACGTCGGAATGTCTTAAAAGATACGTGTGCGTTGGTCGAAAGATGCGACGAGAATGTAGAATCGCAAAGAGTCCTCTTCGCTCTTCGTCAGAATTAATCGGTAATCGTGATGTTACGAAACCGTTCTGTTCATTAGGCGTCGCGATGTCGAACCGATCAGCGAACTCGACGCCACCGATTGCCCCTAAACCACCGTGAAGATGCTCGGCCACAGCTCCCGCGGTGGTTAATTTCGCGTGCACTCGAGTCTCGCGAAAACGAACAATTTCGCGGGATGCGAAAAACGTCTGTTCCGATCCAGCGAAGCGGAGCGGCTCGCTCGAGCGGTGCTGGAAGCTGGCGACGATCGGGTGAGCGCGTCGACGAGCGACGGAAGCACGATACCTAGGCCAGGAAATCCGGACAGAGACGTTCGCGAAGCATGCATAGAGGTTTCAAGCCGGTAGAAAAGATGTAACGGAATACACTAAGAGTACAATGGACCGATTCTATAGTATGATACAAACTGAAAGTTCGCGAATGCGAAACGAAGCAAAGGCACGAATCTATTCTATTATGAATCGATATGATCCTGCTACGGTTCTTGGCTTTTTCCGATCTCGCGTCAAGGCCGGTGACTGCGACGCAAACGCATAAATGCACGTTTCTACGGTTCTGTGTTTCATCGTCCGGCTGTTTCGTCGGTGAATTAAAAAGATAGAGAGCCATCCGAATCGCAACAGGATCGAGGGGTAACTCGCGTCGAACGAATCGACCGCCCGATCATCAGCAAATAGATTTTCCTAGCTAATTCGCATCCGAATGATCGTATACGCGCCAGCTGAAACGAAATCAACTCCGAACACGCAACGAACGCGATAGATCATCCTGGAGGATTTTGTTCTCGGCGTTGCTCATCGTCGTTTGAACGTGGCGTTCTTCGCGGGAACTACTAAGGCGTAGAGCTGGTGCCTGTGGTCGCGGACGAAATTCCCGACGGTGGCGGAACGGAAGCTGGCATCGTTGGCGGCGCGTATGGGCTTCCGCAGAGCTGGTCCGCGATACGTCCACCCTCGCGCAGACCGCTGAGGAACGCGCCGTGGACGGTGGCTGGATAATTTCTTATGGTATGTTCGCCTGAAAGCACGGAATTCAAATCTGGTTTGATGTTGGAAGAAGCTACGCTGAAAACTAACAACGATATTTTAGGAGTCTACGAAAAAAAAAAGTATATTATTTTTCGCGCGTCTTTACTGTATCCGAAAAATGTAAATGTTTATTGTTAGCTTATACCGTTCGGAAACGTGAAAACTGCAACGGTATAATATACCCCTGTTACCCTTATCGCCAACCTCTTCGGCTATAAACTAAAAATAATTAGCCCCGTTGTCCCGAACAATAGAAATAAATAGGACTCGCAGTAGCAGGGAACGGAACAAACGAAACGTCTTTGGAAGCATTAGGGACCACCCACCGCTCGAGCGGGGAATAATTCTTTTTCAAACTCGACGAATCAATTACGAAGCTATTTAAATCCTCTTTTGAGAGATTCTCTCCGAACGGGTCTAAAGTAAAGTACGGAAAAGCGCATTTTCTCGAGACGAAACGAGCGAGCGTGCCCATAAAGGCGGCAGCCTCGTTCTGCCGGTGAAAAAAGGAAGTCGGTCGACTTTGTCCCCGCAAAAAAGGCAAACACAAAAGAAGCGGTGGCTCGAAATATCGCGGAGTCTAAACATTTACCTGCGAAAAAGACTCTCGGTTGGGGAGGTGAAGCGCCAGGGGTGGGCGGGGGTGCTACCGGCGCTGCCAGGAGATCGTAATCGCTGCCGGAACTGCCGACCGCAACGAAACTGTAGGATCCTCGTGCCCAGGGATCCGCCCTCCATCTCGTCACCACGCTCTCCCGAGGCTGAGGCACCACTTGATTCCCGAAAATACCCTGAAAGAAAATCGTCGCTCTGCGTGAAGATTCCAGCGTCCACGGCACGAAGTTTTACGCGATAACGCGAAACTTGCGCCGACGTTACGCAGAAGTGAGGTTTGATGTTTGAATGTTGGCACCTGAGTTTCGTAACGCTCTGGTGTTATCCACCGTTATCAGTATTCTGTTAAATAAATTATACTATTGCAATATTAATAAGTGTAAATACAGTTATTTAAATCTACTATTTATCATTTCCGCGAGCATCTGTAACGTCAGGACAAGTTTTGCGTTAAGAAAGCTGGACGAAACTGAGACTCGGTTCGGTTTACCTTCAAAACAGCGATGCATCGTCCTACGATAACGTCGTCGCTGACGTTTTCCATTACGCAGGCCGCCTCGCCGGCCACCAGCGCCAGCAGAACCGGTGCCTTGTACAAATTCCAGAATAAGAAAAGCTCGCCTCGCGACGCGGTCGTGCTCCCCACGTGGCCGAACAAATTGGCGGTTGGATCCCAGAAGATCCGCTCGAAGCACAGCACCACCTAACGTGACGAATTTAGCGGTGTTATTTCACCCTTGAATCTCAAACATACTCACACTCAACAATTAGTCGTGATGAGTAAGTAGACTCGCTCTTATTTCGAGGAATGTATACATATTATTTTCTTCTCTCTTTATATGAACAAGAGATCAGCACAAGTGATTGACAAAAAATGTAAACGATTTCCATAACTTTATTTCTGAAAATCGAAACAAGTGAGAACGATCGTGCTCCGTGAACTTAACGTTAAGAAGCTTGGTTGATTTTCGAGGACAATCGCGGCGGTCGCGGGACCAAAACACGTCCGCGAAGACGAATCTCCCGGAATCGGCTTACGGTTGCGCGCAGCCCTCTCGATTCATCCAAATTACCCTCAATTTATTCCGTTTCATCGGCTATCGGGCGAGAAATCCTGACAGCCGTAGCCCATTTCCCCGACGCGATGAGCCTTTAATTTCGCATACGAAAGTACGAGCGCGCAGCGGTCGTAAAGCGGCCCCGTCCCGGAGGCCGTAAAAGGAACGTGTCCCGGCGTAAGAAGCGACACGAGCCACGTCACCGGTCCGCTGCTCAATGCCCGGCGACGAAAGGAGACCGCCGGATCACAATATATCTCATTCGGGCAACGGTCGACAAGTTCGATCGTCGTTTTCGCTGGACGCATAAATCAGCGGCCCTCGGGGGTCCGCGAAAGCCGCGAGGAGAAACGGAGCTCGGTTCGCCGGTACCGCGGGGCTTACCTTATTTAAATTGCCGAACCCAAGCCTCTGAATGGCCTGAGACTTCCAGTCCGGAAGCGGTGGGTTGAAGGCGACCGCGGACGGCGGAGCGGAAGCTTTCAGGACGCCGAGGGGCAACGTGACCAGCACAGCGTCCGCCTTGTAGACCGTGTGATTTGTGTGGGGGCTGCGCGAGGGTGCTGCCCACACTTCTACGCCATTTACCCCGTATCGGACCGCCCTGGCAGCTGTGTTCAATCGAATGTCGAGGCCTTCCGAGAGAGCAACAGGTACGCAGGAATATCCGTTGCGAACTGCAAGGTAATGCATAAAAAGGTGACAGTCAGCGCTGGAATTTATACGACGCGAGATAACACACCCTCCGGAACCAGGATCTTTCTAGCGAGGCATGTTTCCTTCCAACAAGTTTCACGTCGAGAAAAGCACCACCCGATACACGAATTGGAAGAGGTTAATGCCGAGTCGAGCAACGAATACACAAATAACGACGGATGATCCACGATTGCTTTTACTTAAATATAATAGCCCAACTATCGCCACCGGTCAGCGATCGGTACCGCCTACAGAGCGCCCCGTATTACTCGGACGAACGTACACGTACCCGCGAAAGGGTCGTTAAAGCGGAAAGAATTATTACGGCGGCACGCGTTCACCTTAACGAAGCGCGGATCGCGCAAGGGTGGCCCTGACGGTGGCGAAATTCCGTGGGCCACCGTCACAGGGTCCGATAAAGGCTCCATTACCGTTTAATTGGATATTTCGCATTAGCGCGGCTAAATCAGGACACCTGACGCGGCCCTAAATTCTCGTAAGCACATTCGAACCCCGTAACATCGGCTGCGCATGTACTAATAATGATACACAGGCGTCTCCACTTAGGGAGTTAATTATGTTGATGGCCACCGGTGTGCTAACAAGCACTCTCCTATCGGTAGACGCCATTTCGGAAATTTAAATTTACGCGGGCGTGCGTTCCTGCCCGAGCGCATTGTAATTTGAATTATCACGCGGCGAATACGTTCCCTGTCGGAGTTATTGCAAGTTAATATCCGATCGTGGGTGGAACGAGATGTATTTTATACATCGTATCGTACATTGTTGAAAATCGCGATAAAGTCTGAAAAGATTTTGTCTACTTTTAATACGACTCGTTTTGGAAGAAGCAGGAGTAAAGTTGAAAAATTCGACGCAAGATTCGCGGGGAGCTGTTGTTTTCGAGTTCGGTACGACTCGTTGCTCTCCTAGTAATTTATCGTCGCGTCGCGAACGAGAGTCGCCTCGTCGTTTCGTTAATTCGACCGATTTAAATTCGACGTCGAACGTTCGGAAGCTGTTCTTTATCCCAGGACTCGCGGGCAAGGGGAACGGCGACCGGTCGATGGAGGGACGCGTCGCGCGACGCGGGTTCGATCCACGCACGATTATTTGCGACGAAAAGGCACGGCGGATTCGTTATTACTTTAATTGGAATCCATTTGACTGGCGACTACACCGGTGCGCCGCGCCGGTGTAGACTCTCGCTCGTGTCTGGCGTCGATTACAGAAACCCTTTCTAATAAGCGAGGGAATATTCAACAGCCAGTCAAGGGAACGATCCGCTGCTACCAAAATTATGGTAAGTCGACCCCTCTTCCCCACCTCGCCACCTTGTCTCGTTCACTCTCGAATGGGAAATTAATTCCTCGCAATGAGGCGGCCGGTTCCGAGTCGATGGAAATTGTCCACGGAGAAACGAGAACCGATCCGGTTTCAGTTTCATCGCGCGACAATTCTTCCAGAGTCCCAGCCTCCGAACCACGCGCGTTCATCGTTCGATGAACTGTTCGAAGAATTCGAAACACGATCGCGCATAACGTGACAAAATATGATTTTCGGCTGGGGTGACATCTAGAAACGTGCAGCGATGTTTTTAGAGCTGCATAAGCATTTTTGCAAATTTCAACGTTGAATTATGCAAGTCGATTTTTCCATTTCCCGGTTCTCTTTACACCGAGTATCGCGCTCTCCCCGACTCGCTTCGTTCTATCATTTTATGCTCGCTGTACAAGTTCAGTTAATATTTTTAATTAGTTACCTTTTGCGAGAGGAGAATCCGGTACGATGGATAGTAACTTTTTAAATTAGCGTGCGCTTTGCCCCGGGAGAGCGCAGAATAAGCAATGCTTTCGTTTCGAATAATACTTCCATTTAACTTTACGTAAGCTAACTCTTAATTGAAATGGAATCGCGCGATCGGAACGATTATGATTCCCTCTCCACTTCTAATATTCTACGAAGAACTTTTAACTCTGCCGTATATCAAGAATCAATGAACTTATATTCTGACGCTCGGAAAACGAGTGATTAAAGTCTGTCGTATGGAATAAAGGAAACTTTCGGTTGAAAACCATGCGAACGATAGAAAAGACTATGTTCATTCAGGAATGACCGCTAGCAGTACGGAACATTCGTTTTTAGTCGAAACAACCGCTTCGCGTTGCCACCGGTTCCTCAGTCCTCGCTGTTTTTCATTAAAAAATCATCTCTGTGAAAGAAAATCCGCGAAAGAGAAAAGCAACCGTAACGCTTTCAGCGGGTTTCATTTCCTGCTTTCGGTTCGAACAAACCGAGTGAATATTTCAGCGGTACACTTCATCCCTGGAGAATCAAAAGTTCGTTACACGCATTTCCGTTCCGTGGATTTTCCGTGCACTCTGCTCTCGGTGCATCTATGACGGCTAAGAGGAACGATAAACGTTGCCGCTACGACTATGCAAAGACAGAGGATCAAAGGAACGACGAGACGAAAAGGCTGTCTGCATTTCCTTTGCTAATACACTTCTAAGTACGAGTGCCCGTCCTAGATCTGGCGAACCGAGATCTCGAACGCAAAGCCATTCGACGTTAGGTTCGGGATCATGGGAGATTCCCTGTACGGTGACTGAAAACTAACGCAAAGGGAATAGGTACATGGTCTGTCCCAAAAGTGTTCCTTGCGAGGTTGCGAGGTACGAAAAATGAAGATTCCTTTGGTAACGTTGGGAAGTGCTCCAAGGAGGAGTGCAAGAATGAAAAATCCTCGTCACCGGTTAAACGCTTGTTCACGACGCGGTAGAGTCGCGGGCCACGCGTTAACCGGAACCTCCTGGCGACGAGGTTCACCGGTTACACTCTTTTCCTCTCTTTCTCTCTCTCTCTTTGGTGCACGAAGGCAAATATTTAAAGAAGAATTTATCAGCGGAGAAGGAGGGGGGCAGCGTGCTCCGGAGAACGATCCAGGGGACGACGCGGCGTTTCTCCGGGTCGGCTTTTCTCGTTCTATCTCGGCTGGATCGAGGACCCGTGCCCGGGCGAGCGAGCGAGGCGTACGCTACCCTCTCGCGTCTTGTCTTCCGTTTGATCTTTGCTCGCAGTATTTTTTGACGGCGAGTCGAACAATTTGTATGCCGCGGTGGTTTTCAATTTACATTTAAATTGGTTGCTTATGGCGTTCTGTCGTCTCGACAGGAGTCGAAGTGCAGCCGGGAGCGGAACACCGAGAGTCGCCCGAAGAGAGAAAGAGGCGACGAGCGCGGAGGCTGCAAGACGAACGGAGAACCCGCTCGACCAACGGGACGGGAGCTCCGCGCGCCCTGCGTCCTGCTCGAACAGTCAAATACTGAAACGGCCCCAAGAGAGAGAGACTGGCAGAACTCTCTGCCGAGTTCAACGCACCGACGACGCTCCGTCGTGGTTTTTGCACGCCACGTAAACGTGCCGGAACACGGCAAAGACGAAATCGGAGAGAGGGTGGCGGGTACCTTTCGCTAGCAACATGTTCCTACTCGCATACGCTGCTGATCAAACGTTCCCGGGGTGCAGATGGGGAATTTGCATTTTCCGAACTGTCGCGAAATGGAGCGCGGCGTTTCGATCGCCTCGTTCATAGATAACGTTACGAGGGAAGTTGGATAAATTCTTGGTATCGATGCGGTGCCGCTTTTAAGCCAAAAACCTATTCGCAGTTCTCGGTAAAGAGACTTAAGGGGGTGCAATGCTGTACAGTTTGTTTAAGGGAGAATAGAGTAATGACAGTGGAGTATTATAACCTATCGATAACGTTATTCCTGTTTGGGAAAGACACAGTCTAGAAGACTAGAAATTAATGTTGTCTCTAGCGGGCATGAATTAAAAAATTTACCGAAAAATGATCAGATTCGTCATCCGTCGGAAACTCAAATTTCGAGAATTCTCCTCTCGTTGACAAGTGTGCTCAAAGTTCTAAGCGGTGGTGTAGGAACACGGAAGACTGACGAGAGGGTTGCTTTTCTTGTTCAGCCAACCGTTACATCAACATTCCACGCTGCGACTCTCGACAGCGTACGTAAGGGAGAGGAAGTCTCATTTGCTTCGTCGAGCAAACATTGATTTTCGGGAATCGGGAGGACCGCTCGTGCGGATCTTGCAGGTGAACTTCCACCTTTGCAGCCCCGGTCTCCGCTGAAACCCAAACTCCTGCTTAGCGGAAGCAAATATTTAATAAACAAACAACCCCGACGTTAGATTGCTGCTGACACATGGTCTGGAAGAAACTGATTGACCTTTGATATCCTCTTGCTTGGAAAGATCATCTACCGGGCCGTTTACGCGACGCCGATCGAGTCCTTCGTGTCAAGCATCCGATAAATTATAGACACGAGCGACTACCTACAAAGTGTACCTGCATCGATGTAGGCTAATTGCGTGAAAAATATTTCAGGAAGATTCGCGATACCAAATACGTTCTTGTTTCGTTTTATTAAATAAAATTGTCACGTTTATGCGTTACAGGTGTAAAAGGTGTACAGTTAATAATTAGAACAGCCCTCGACGGTAAATATCAGTGCTTCGGCTTAGTCGCGCGACAGAAGGGTCGCGAAGAAACACTATGGAAATTAGCGTACACGAGTGCGGTAACTCCTCGTTACGTCATAACGGTTAACAATGAACGGGACTCGAACAGCACGACGATCGAAAATGAACTCCGATTCGCTTAACGCATTCGGACAGACGCCGTCTTATTTCCTGGGGCTGCGCAAGTGAGATTAAGCCGCGCGACGCGCTAGCCTGGACGATGACGCGCGAACAGACGCGATACACATAAATTAACGATTAAACGGGCCCTGTAGCCTCGTGGTCGAAACCTCGGACAAACTTCCGGGACGCTTACGCGCGACATAATAAGATTAATAGAACGAAAGTTTCAACGAATGCCAGGACAGCCGTTTCTCGTATTAATCATAGCTGTCCGCGACGTCTCGTTCGCCGGGCCATTACGCTAACATTCCGAACCGCG